GCCCCCCCCAGTATATCCCAGTATATCCCAGTATATCCCAGTATATCCCAGTCCCCCCAGTGCTCACACTGCACGTCCAGCTGGTACTGGGTGAGGCGGCGCTGGCCCCGCCCCAGGGCGGGGTTCGTGGCCTCGCAGGTGACGATGGCGCCGTGGTCGCGGCGCTCCGGCCGCAGGCGCAGCACCGAGCGCTGCCAGAACACCTTCCCCTCCTGCCGCAGGCTGCTGCGCCCTGTGGGGGGACAGGTGTGCACAGGTGAGCACAGGTAACCCCCCAGGTGTGCACAGGTAACCCCTCAGGTGAGCACAGGTAACCCCAGGTGAGCACAGGTAACCCCAGGTGTGCAGCACCGAGCGCTGCCAGAACACCTTCCCGTCCTGCCGCAGGCTGCTGCGCCCTGCAGGTACACAGGTAACCCCTCAGGTGTGCCCCCAGGTGTGCCCAGGTGTGCCCAGGTAACCCCAGGTGTGCCGCAGGCGCAGCACCGAGCGCTGCCAGAACACCTTCCCCTCCTGGCGGAGGCTGCTGCGCCCTGCAGGTACACAGGTGTGCACAGGTGAGACAGGTGTGACAGGTAACCCCCAGGTAACCCCAGGTGTGCAGCACCGAGCGCTGCCAGAACACCTTCCCGTCCTGCCGCAGGCTGCTGCGCCCTGCGGGGGGACAGGTGAGACAGGTAACCCCTCAGGTGAGACAGGTAACCCCCCAGGTGTGCCCAGGTGTGCCCAGGTAACCCCAGGTGTGCAGCACCGAGCGCTGCCAGAACACCTTCCCGTCCTGCCGCAGGCTGCTGCGCCCTGCAGGTGAGACAGGTAACCCCTCAGGTGAGACAGGTGAGACAGGTAACCCCAGGTGTGCCCAGGTAACCCCAGGTGTGCAGCACCGAGCGCTGCCAGAACACCTTCCTGTCCTGCCGCAGGCTGCTGCGCCCTGCAGGTGAGACAGGTGTGCACAGGTGTGCTCAGGTAACCGCAGGTAACCCCCTCAGGTGAGCACAGGTAACCCCAGGTGTGCACAGGTGAGACAGGTGAGCACAGGTAACCCCCCCAGGTGTGCCCAGGTAACCCCAAGTGTGTCATACCTGTCCCACGTGTGTTATACCTGCCCCAGGACTGCTGTACCTGCCCCAGGACTGCTGTACCTGCCCCAGGTGTGTCCCAGGTGTGTCACACCCATCCCCAGGTGTGTCCCAGGTGTGCTGTACCTGTCCCAGGTGTGTCACACCCATCCCCAGGTGTGCCCCAGGTGTGTCCCAGGTGTGTCCCAGGTGTGTCCAGGTGTGTCCCAGGTGTGCTGTACCTGCCCCAGGTGTGCCCCAGGTGTGTCCCACCCGCGCTCACCTGGCAGCTCGCGGCGGTCGCGGAACCAGCGCAGCGTGGCCGGGGGCCGTGCCCGGGGCACCAGGCAGGTGAGCTCCAGCTCCTCCCCCTCCACCGCCAGCGCCGCCGCCTCGACCAGCGGGGGCTCGGGGGGCACTGGGCAGGTGAGACAGGTGAGGTGAGACAGGTGAGGTGAGACAGGTGAGACAGGTGAGAGACAGGTGAGATCAACAGGTGAGACAGGTGAGACAGGTGAGATCAACAGGTGAGACAGGTGAGACAGGTGAGACAGGTGAGACAGGTGAGACAGGTGAGACAGGTGAGACAGGTGAGACAGGTGAGACAGGTGAGACAGGTGAGACAGGTGAGACAGGTGAGACAGGTGAGAGACAGGTGAGAGACAGGTGAGATCAACAGGTGAGACAGGTGAGACAGGTGAGATCAAGGTGAGACAGGTGAGAGACAGGTGAGACAGGTGAGAGACAGGTGAGACAGGGACAGGTGAGACGGGTGAGCCCAAAACCCCCATTTTTCACCCAAATTTCACCCAGTTGCCTTCCTTTATCCGCTCCCACCTGCCCCCAGGTGTGCCCAGGTAACCCCAAACCCCCCAAAATCCCCATTTTTCACCCGATTTCGGTGCAGTTTTTTTTGTTTTTCCCCTCCCAGCTGTGCCCAGGTGCCCCCAGGAGCCCCCAGGTGTGTCCCCAGGTGTGCCCAGGTAACCCCAAACCCCCCAAAATCCCCATTTCTCGCCCAAATTTCACCCGATTTCCGTGCAGTTTTTTTTGTTTTTCCCCTCCCAGCTGTGCCAGCTGTGCCTGGCATACCCAGCACGGTGATTGTGGCGATCTGGTGGTGCCCCAGGTGTGCCCAGGTGTGCCCAGGTAACCCCAAACCCCCCAGGTGCCCCCCTTTTCACCCGATTTTCGCCCAGTTTTTTTTATTTTTCCCCTCCCCGGTGCCCCCCGGTGCCCCGTACCCAGCACGGTGAGCGTGGCGATCTGGTGGTGCCCCCAGGGGCGCCCAGGTGTGCCCAGGTACCCATTTCTCACCCGATTTCGGCGCAGTTTTTTTTGTTTTTCCCCTCCCCGGTGCCCCCAGGTGTGTGCCCAGGTGTGCCCAGGTGCCCCGTACCCAGCACGGTGAGCGTGGCGATCTGGTGGTGCGTGTCGTCGGCGTACAGCTGGCAGAAGTAGCCGCCCTCGTCCTCCAGGCGGGCGCGCGCCAGGCGCAGCCGCAGCCGGCGCCGGCTGAACTCGGCCAGCTCGAAGCGCTCGTCCTTCAGGGCTGGGGACAGGGGTCACGGGGTCACCCACGGGGTCACCACGGGGTCACAGTGCCACCCATGGGTCACACAGACACACACTGACCCCACAGTGCCACCCCCAGCTCGAAGCGCTCGTCCTTCAGGGCTGGGGACAGGGGACGGGTCACGGGGTCACCACGGGGTCACGGGGTCACCCACGGGGTCACTGTGTCACCCACGGGGTCATGGTGTCACCCACGGGGTCACCACGGGGTCATGGGGTCACTCACTCAAAGTCCCCAATCCCCCCAGTGTCCCCAAATCTCATTTTCCCCCCAATTTTCCTCCATTTTCCCCCCAATTTTCCCCATTTTTCCCCGATGTCCCCAATCTCCCCAGTGTCCCCAAGGGTCCCCAAATCCAATTTTCCCCAATTGTTCCCCAAATTTTTCCATTTTCCCCCAATGTCCCTTTTTTTTCTTGAATTTTCCTCCATTTTTCTCCCAAATTTCCCCATTTTTTCTTCCAAATTTCCCCATTTTTTCTCCAATTTTCCCCATTTTTTCTCCCAAATTTCTCCATTTTTTCCCCGTTTTTCCCCATTTTTTCCCTCAAAGTCCCCAATGTCCCCGCTGTCCCCCCAATGTCCCCAAGTGTCCCCAATGTCCCCAAATCTCATTTCCCCCCCAATTTTCCTCCATTTTTTCTCCCAAATTTCTCCATTTTTCTCCCAAATTTCTCCATTTTTCTGCATTTTTTTCTCCAATTTTCCCCATTTTTTCCCCAATTTTCCCCATTTTTCCCCAATCCCCCCGGTGTCCCCAAGTGTCCCCAGTGTCCCCAAATCTCATTTTCCCCCCAATTTTCCTCCATTTTTCTCCAATTTTCCCCATTTTTTCTCCCAAATTTGTCCATTTTTCCCCTGTTTTTCCCCATTTTTCCCCCAAAGTCCCTGATGTCCCCCCAAATGTCCCCAAAGTCCCCCCAGGGTACCCCAATCCCATTTTCCCCCCAATTTTCCTCCATTTTTTGCCCAAATTTCTCCATTTTTTCCCCCAAATTTCTCCATTTTTTCCCCGTTTTTCCCCCGTTTTTCCCCCAATGTCCCCGCAGTGTCCCCGCTGTCCCCCCGCTGTCCCCGCTGTCCCTCACCGCGGGTGCCGTTGAAGAACAGCGTCTGCCGGGCCGGGTTCTGGATCACCACGATGGAGCCGTCGTACCTGTGCAGGTGACACGTGATCTCTGCGGTGCCGCCCTCGAGCACGGTCACGTTCTCGGCCTGCACCTCCTGGGACTGCCCTGGGGACACACAGGGGACACGTGTGACACATGTGACACACACAGTGACACACGTGACACACACAGTGACACGTGATCTCTGCGGCCGCCCTCTCGAGCACGGTCACGTTCTCGGCCTGCCCCTCCTGGGACTGCCCTGGGGACACACGTGACACATGTGACACACGTGACACACACAGTGACACACAGTGACACGTGATCTCTGCGGTGCCGCCCTCGAGCACGGTCACGTTCTCGGCTTGGACCTCCTGGGACTGCCCTGGGGACACACGTGACACACGTGACACACGTGACACACACGTGACACACACAGTGACACGTGATCTCCGCTGTGCCGCCCTCCAGGACAGTGACATTCTCGGCCTGCACCTCCTGGGACTGCCCTGGGGACACACAGGGACACACGTAACACACGTGACACACACGTGACACACACAGTGACACGTGATCTCCGCTGTGCCGCCCTCCAGGACAGTGACATTCTCGGCCTGCACCTCCTGGGACTGCCCTGGGGACATTGGGGACACCCAGGGGTCACCCAGGTGACACAGGTGACACAGGTGACACACAGGGGACACACGTGACACACAGGTGACACACAGGTGACAGGGGACAGGGACAGGTCACCACGGGATGGGGACACCACGGGGTCACCTCGGGGGACAGCCGGGGGACAGGGACAGGGACAGGGACAGGGACACGGTGACACAGGGTGACACAGGGGACACGGGACAGGGTGACACTGTGACACAGGATGACACAGAACACGGTGACAGGGGACAGGGTGACACAGGGGACACCCAGGTGACACCCAGGGGTCACAGAGGTGACACAGAGTGACACGGGACAGGGTGACACAGGAGTGGCACACGGTGACACACAGTGACACGGGACAGGGTGACACAGGGTGGCACTGGGTGACAAGGCACAATGTGACACAGTGACACACAGTGACACGGGACAGGGTGACACAGGGTGGCATAGGACAGGGTGACAAGGTGACAGGGGACAGAAGGACACAGGACAGGGTGACACAGGGGACAGGAGGATACAGTGACACAGTGACAGGTGACACAGGGTGACACAGGTGACAGGGTGACACAGGGGACACCCAGGGGGTCACACAAGTGACAGAGGACAGGGTGACACGGTGACACAGGGTGACACAGGGTGATACAGGGACAGGGTGACACACAGTGACACAGGTGACACTGGGGACACGGGACAATGTGACACAGGGTGACACAGTGACAGGGGACAGAGGACACGGTGACATGGGTGACAGGGTGGCACACTGGGGACACGGTCACACAGGGTGATAGAGGGACAGGGTGACACACAGTGACACAGGTGACAGGTGACACGGTGACAAGGTGACACAGGGTGACACAGGGTGACACAGAGGACAGGGGGACAGAGGACAAGGTGACACGGTGACAAGGTGACACAGGGTGACACGGGACAGGGTGACACAGTGACAGGGGACAGAGGACACGGTGACATGGGTGACAGGGTGGCACACTGGGGACACGGTCACACAGGGTGATAGAGGGACAGGGTGACACACAGTGACACAGGTGACACAGGGTGAGACAGAGGACAGGGTGACACAGTGACAAGGTGACACAGGGTGACACGGGACAGGGTGACACAGGGGACACCCAGGGGGTCACACAGGTGACACAGGACAGGGTGACAAGGGACAATGGGACACAGTGACACACAGTGACACGGGACAGGGTGACACAGGGACAGGGGCCAGAGGACACGGTGACACAGGTGACAGGGTGGCACAGGGTGATAGAGGGACAGGGTGACACTGGGGACACTGGGGACACGGTCACACAGGGTGACAGAGGGGACACAGTGACAGGGGACACAGGGACAGGGGCCAGAGGACACGGTGACACAGGTGACAGGGTGGCACAGGGTGATAGAGGGACAGGGTGACACTGGGGACACTGGGGACACGGTCACACAGGGTGACAGAGGGGACACAGTGACAGGGGACACAGGGACAGGGGCCAGAGGACACGGTGACACGGGTGACAGGGTGACACAGGGTGACACACTGAGGACACGGTGACACAGGGTGACACAGGGACAGGGTGACACACGGTGACACAGGTGACACTGGGGACACTGGGGACACAGTGACACAGGGACACAGTGACACACGATGACACAGTGACAGGTGACACAGGGACAGGGGGGACAAAGGGGGACAAAAAGGGACAGGGGACATCAGGACAGTGGCACCGGGGACAGTGACAGCACCGGGGCTTGGGGACACTGGGACAGAGGGACAGGGGGACAGGGGGACAATGTGACACAGGGACAGAGGGACAGGGGGACAGAGGGACAGGGGGACAGAGGGGACAAAAGGGGACAGAGGTGACACGGGACAATGTGACAGAGGGACAGCGGGGACAAAGGGGGACAGGGGGTGACACAGGGACAGAGGGACACAGGGACAGAGGGACAGGGGGACAGAGGGACAGGGGGACAATGTGACACAGGGACAGAGGGACACAGGGACAGGGGGACAGGGTGACAGGGTCACAGGGGACACAGGGTGACAAGGGACAATGTGACACAGGGACACCAGGACAGAGGGACAGTGACAACACCGAGGTTTGGGGACAGGGGGACAGAGGGACATTGGGACAGAGGGACAGGGGGACAATGTGACACAGGGACAGAAGGGACAAAAGGGGACAGGGGGTGACACAGGGACAGAGGGACACAGGGACAGGGGGACAGGGGGACAGGGGCTGGGGACATTGGGGACATGGGTGACACCGTCCTGGGGACAGCCAGGCCGGGGCTTGGGGACACCGGGGACACCGGGGGGGTGGCACTGGGGACAGAGGGACAATCTGACACAGGGACAGGGGACAGAGGGACAGTGACACCAGCGGGGGCTGGGGACAGCGGTGACGTCATCGGGGGTCCCCGGGAGCGCCGGTGGCACCTCGGGGACAGGAGAGGACACTGGGACAGGGACAGGGACGGGGACAGGGACAGGGACAGGGACGGGGACAGGGACACCCCGGGGTGGCACCGAGTGTCCCTCAGGTTGCCGTGACAACGCCGGGGGGGGTGACACCGAGGTGACAATGGGGGGGTGGCACTGAGGGGGTGACGGTGACACTGAGGTGACACCCAGGGGGGGTTGGTGACAC